TTTCAGCTACTAAAAAGATACCCATGGAATTCCCATTCTCATGAAAACCATCCATTTTCAAATGCTATTGCATGTCTGCAAGTTGTATGTCTCTAAATTCAGTAGACCCAGCTTGCATTATCACTCTTAATTTGCGAAATATAAACGAAAGATGTCTATATAAGGTTCAGATAGTACGTGAAAAATGAATGCTTGGAATGATCTAATACTACTAAGATATTTATACTAAACCCCTACATTTTAGCAGAAGCCTGAACTACAGGGAAATTGAAGTTATCATCATTACAAAAATGGTGAAATACTATTTTTGGTCCTGTCATGAAAATTTCACATACAAGTAATTTATGAAAACTGTCCTTCTCATAGAATATGATTGTGACTTATCCTGCAAGTATTGCAGTGAATTTAGGGACCAGTTAAAAAAAATACTTCCTACAAAGTATTTTCAGGCTTTTTTTTTTTTAACAATGATATGAGCAGGTTTTTCAGAGAAGGAGTTGCTTCATTTTTTCCATTTAAAGAGAAAAAGCTATCCTGCTACCAATTAGCAAAAGAGATTTTTACATAACTTTAAGCAAGCAGCTAGCTTTGAATTGAAAATTTACCCTGCAACCATACTGTTACTGTTGTATGCAGTCTAATGAACGTATGAAGAAAACAGTTCAACATCTCAAGTTTTGACTGTGAAATTATAAAATACAGTAAGGAAAGCTTACTACATAATTGCATTTACAGTTATGTACACTTTTGTTGGTTTTGCTGCATTTTTAATAGTTTTCATCCCATAAGATATTGTAAAACTTTGTAATTCATTCTTCACAAAAATGTTCACACAGTGCAACATTCATAGAAAGATAACAATATTGTATGAGATGTCTTTATTTTATGTTTTTATAACCTAAAAAAAAAAAAATTACTTTTCTACTTATAAGAACGGCAGTCTATCCCAGCTGTATTAATGCAATCCAAATATTTGGCATAAATGTAGGCAGTTTTCCTCTGCTCTCTAGGGATGCAACTTATAAATATTCATACACGTGGCTACTCTCACAAGTGGGCTTTGGCTTTTCATTTCAAGTAATTCCATTGCAAAATTTATTGCTGCTTAATTTCTTGTATTTTCTGAGCTGACAATAGAAAGTTTTTAAAATAGAAAAGCAAAAAAAAAAGGCAGAAAGACATCTATTAAATCAATTTTTAAACACACAACAACTTATATTACAACCCACCAAATTGGAAGGATTTGTGAGACACTTAAGAACGTACAAATTACTGTTAAACACAAATCCTTGGGGGAGTGGGAGATCACCCAATTTACATCTTTTCTTACCAAACAATGCAACTCTAGCAATTTTTGTTTCATGTCTACTACTGTGTATTCTTTGCATTAGACCGTTCCTTCTTCTTATCCTAAAGTACATACAAATGTTGTGCTTATATGAAGGCCTTTAGTGGACCTTTTATGCAAGATAAATAGACAAATTACACTTCAGTCTGACCTGACATCCTCATGCAGAAGGAAAACGGCATTCTACACTTATTTTCTTGTTTGTAACAAAGGCTCATCAGAATTTCCTCAACCTTTATAACAACATAAACTTAATCTTAAATGAACTAATCTCTGAAAGACAGACATACAGTCCCAGCTTTGAAGAAGTATCATGGACTATTCAAAATTTTCAGAAGTTTTGTTCACCTGGTTTGGTGGAGGTGGGAAGGGGTGGGAAGGGGGGTGTTGAGTCTACAAAAATGTTCATTAATTCTCAGGATTGAAAAAAATGTTAAATAATTCTCAGGATTGAACTGATAAAATCTCTCCTGCAGCAGAGAAAGTTACCAATCAGAGAATAAAACACTATCTTTCAGTATCTCTTAGGTAAACATATCTGTTACTAATTTCCCTGTTACTTTACCCTGACTATCAGCAACATGTAGTTCCTACCTATTTTGCCAGTATCTGTAGCAGAACAATAAATGAATCCTGGGAAAGTTAGCAAGACGACAAACACGGGCTTTAAAGGTAGACACAGTAATTCATAAATCCAAAGAACAATTCTACTGATTAATTATTTTCTAATGTTTGAACAACGTGCTATTGTCATAAACTATATCTGGCTAGAAAACAAACCCTGCTAAACACAGTGGCTTCCCAGTAATAGACCCAACAGAAGACCTGTTTAAAAATTCTACAACAATGCTAGATGGCAATTGTAGTTGGGTACGACAAACATCTTATCTTTGGGTGTGTTCCCTGGCCAGACTACAACTGCCAAGATCCACCAGCCCCATCTCACTGAACCACTATGGTTGACCATAAGAATCCTAGGCCAAAGTCCATCTTGTGAGACGCAGTCTAGCTGAAGAACCTAAGAACAACAGTGAAGTACAGAGCCTTCTGATACCCATAAACATAACTCTTATTGAGGCATGGAAGCAGTACTCTGCACCTCCTGGGAAGTTGGAGATTTTTTTTTATAGTGTTTAATGTTTTTCATTCAACACAGATGGGAAAAAACTTGGGTTGTCGAAAAATCTTAGTGCTCTGCTGGGAAAAAGTGCTTGTAAAATGGAAATGAGTAAGAGTTTATTTTGTGAGTATGCCTGCTTTGATGTATCACCAAATCTATCATTATCCTTTAGGTTAGGGTTAAACGTAAAGCAAAAGAGAAAGCAAGGAAAAGCAGTTGTCTGAACACGCTCGAGAACCCCTGTATACTCAGCCTATGCATAAGCCTCCTAAGTTACAGCATATTGCTAACACTTGAGTAACTACAGCCATTAAAACTTCCCTTGTTAAAACTTAAATTACTATATGTGAAATAAATGTGATCTAGACTAAAAAGAATTGCTGACATATGCCCTCAAGAATATTAAAAAAAATCCAACACTTAAGAAAATGTGGAAGTATATATATACTGAACGCATGCACATGAAAAAACAGACCTCCCTAATAAAGATAGCAAATCTCAGCTATTGTAAGTTTCCCCATGTGCCATTTAAGCAATATTAATTTTAAAATAATATAAAAGAGAAGAATATATAAAATACATGTTATATGTACATGTACAGTGAGGAATTAGCAAGTAATTAATAAACAATTAAGATAAAAATGCTTTTGCATTTGATGCAGTTATCTTCTAAACTATTAAATACTAGATAGAGAGAGGAAAAGATGGCATGCTTCTTCCAAGAGAAACAACACTTCACAGCAGTCATGGGAGAAAGGTCTGAGAAACTGCTGAACAGGCACCTCCCTGTAGAGACAGAGACAAGAACCCCTGAGCTGAGCTGAGACTGCTGAACAACTGCAAGGGGATATGCTGACACTCCCCTTGAGCCTCATGTCCCTGCCACATCACAACTCATTCCTGCAAAACAGGACTGGATTCCTTCTACCCCAGCAAGCACCAAAACTGATACTTCTTTGTATCTGCTAATGTTGCACAATTGTTTATGCCATATCATGGGGTTGTCCTATCACTACCTTGCCCAGAGACTGACTATCTGCTAATGTGGCACAATTGTTTATGCCATATCATGGGGTTGTCCTATCACTAACTTGCCCAGAGACTGACATGAGGAAGTAGCGCTAAGATTTATTATTTCCTGTGATAATAGATACAGAGAAATTTAAGCTGATGAAAGTCAAAGAAAATCTGAAAATAAATGCCAGCATTGTCTATCATAGATCAAGAAAGAAACAAACAACCCTACAGCCTAAACATCCATTTCAAATAAGCTAGTTCACTGACAGTATACCCAACTTGGGCAACACAACTTCCAAAAAATACAAGTAGGGACTCAAAGAGAAAGTGGGCTGATACAAGAACAAGAGGGTTGGAGTGTGCATATATAGTATTTTCAGTTGCCTAGATAAGATCCCTGAGGAGAAAAGAAACAAAGAAAGAAATCAAATAAGTAATGTCAATCTAACTGCATGTTAAACTGGACAATCTTTCAAGATCAAGGGCCTTTTCTTCTCTGCCTTTCTATGCTTTGATGCACTTCAAAGGGTCAGTGCTTGTAGCAAGTTTTACCAACCACCCTTGTAAGCAACTCAGTTTGCATGTCCTCCCCAGCATTACACCACAGTAGTTGAGAGCACAAGCCAAATAAATGTTCCTACAAGCTACAAGTACGGTTAAGGGACCTTCCTTAAAGCACGTCCCTCAACACAATGAGGTGTGAGACAATTTAAACAGTTACTGTGGTAATAAAAAGCAGAAAAGACAAGGCTATCAGATCAGATATCAGGGGGCGGGGGAAGGTGAAAATGATCCAATTCTACACATAAAGCGAGAACAAAAAAATTATTTGGGGCTTCATACAGAATATGCTGGAACAGTTGAATGTCTTCCCTTGGATTTGATGAGTTTCTAGATCAAGCCTGCCTAGGTTTTCAATCTGGGGAGAAAGCTTCACTAAAGCTCCAGTCTGCTCACAATAATAAGCTAGGACCACTGAGATAATCCTAATCAATTAATCACAGCCATGGGTCTGCATCACAAATTCACCATCAGTCTGGTGTGGCCCTACACTTTAAACTTGAGTAAGTGGTGTGCTGGACATCACGCCTGTTGTTAGAATAATAGCTTTTAGTACATATCCCACCTTAGCCTCAGTCCTCTGAGGCTGAGTTTTGGCAAGATGTAAAACTACATCCTGACTTCATTCAGATATCCTCCAGGAAACATTCACATCATTTAATGCAGTCAAAAAAACATACGTTTCTTGGAATAGCCTGCATCTGTCCTGATCACATCATACCTCTGTACAGTATAACACTTGTGACACTGAAGTCAGTTTAAGATAGCAGGACAGAAGCTGAAACCCGTATCTTCAGACAAAGCAACACAGTTTCATAAAGGAACAAGAAAGAGATCGATTTTGACACAGACATACAGTGCCTCACAACATCTGTAAGCAACAGAAGATAAATTTAGATGATACCTACAAAACATGTTGGGGAGACAAGGAAATGATGGCAGAAAGGAACTTACTTGATTTTACTGAAGACAATGTCAACGTCTGTGATTGTCACATTCTTCCCATCTATCACATGACAGTCCTTACACAGCTTTGACCAGTTCTTCCCATGCATTTCTTTTCCTGTGGCTCTTGTATCACCATGGATGGCAAATTTTCTAAAGGCTTCTTCCAGAGCACTTATTTCTCCTGCCATAGCTCCCTCATGGGAACTGTTTGAATCATAGGATAATCGTTTTGCTGCTCGGTCCTTTGCTGGATCTGAAGGAGACTTTGGAGGAGTCTTATTCACAGGCTTGGTCGACTTCACTTTATTGTCAGCCATTGTGCTACAAAGAAGAGGGTAAACTCATTACATTAATTCACACGTTTACTTTCTGTTAAACTCCAGGCTACAGTCCATGTCACAACGTATGAAGAATAAATGATCTATAAAGTTAGCAAGAACTCATTGCCCTCCACCATCAAACAACAGTCTATACATAGAACTATGTAACTCTCTGCCTATCTAAAAAAAATTCTAGCATATTAAAAAAAAAGTCAGGGAAAGAACATTCCAAAATAGGGCACAAACGTAATTTCACCATCATTACATCAGCCAACAAGAGAACACTTAGTGTTTGGTTTTGTTTTTTTTTTTTTTTTTTAAAATGGCAATCACCACAGTCACTCTACTGATCCGAATAAAAGTATGCCCTTTACATTGTAGGCATTACTACCTACTTTTATTTCTGAAGGAAGAATGAACAGTCCTTTATTTTCTGGACTGTGGCTTTTTAATTATTATTTATTGCAAATTGAAAGATTTTTGAAAGTGCAGTAAAAATATTAATGTTATAACCCTTATGTTACATAATGTAAGGCCTAACAAGTAAGGAAGCCCCCAAAATGCTTAGACAAGTCTCTCTTGTTAACAAAACCATTCATTTCTCAAGTTTATGCCAAATAAACTGTAGCTGTGGAATTCATTTGGAATGAACACGTCCATGATGCAGGAGCACTGAGAAGGGATGTCATTACTGCAGAGAACAACTTTGAGATTACCCTATGTTCATGTAAGATAGGTTTGCCTTTTATAAGAAACCTTAAACTGAGGTTTCTTATAAAACCTATATATAACACTAAAGTTATTTCCAGGTATCTTCATAAAGAAAAAATCCCTAACATGCCAGAAGCATGCCACAGAAGCCTTTGCCTTCTGCCCATCCACTCTTAGCTTGGCAGAAGAGGCACTGAAAAGCCTAGGGATAGGGTGCACTGTGTGCCTGTCCCAACAGCACTGTTGCCCAGACTCACATCTGTGGTGTTGCTACAAATTTTAACCCATAAAGAGGTGCTTCAGGTACCAGAAGTTTCACAAATACTGGGTAAGGGCTGGAAAGCCCACCATACTTACCTCGTCCATTCTTCTAGTTGCAGCTGTACATGGTATGTGACTAACATATGCAAAGATTTGTATGTATTTTTAGTTAAGGTTTTATTTTTGCATCAGATAGAAAGTTCTTTTGGCTTATATACTGTACCTCAATACAAACTCCTCAGCAATGGAAACAATTCTAAAATTCTACCTCTTCTGATATTGCTTAACCTCTGTCACTTGAACAACAAAAGCGTACCCTTTCCTGCACGCTGCAACAGAACTAGCCATAGCTACCTGCTATGAAGCAGTTATTGTTAAGCTTCATGATTAGAAACAACCTTTTAATAAAAACTATACTAAAGGACCTTTGTCCTTTACTCTTGAGCAAATGCAGCATGGCCAAAGCACAACTGTCTATTTTGAAAACATTTCAAGTAAATGTTTAAAAACCTTGTTATATCTTAAGCCTGGTGATCCTTCTGTTTTGTTTACACTGTCAGCACAAGTTTTGGCCAACAAACAGAAATGCTAAATTAAAATTAATATGACAGGAATTTACTAATGGTAGCCTGCGAGTTATATGTGCACCTATGAAATAAAAAGAAAAGCACAGAGGTGGAAAAAAGAGTTGGAAAATTTAAAGTTCATTAAAAAGTTAAAAATGTAACCAATTCCCATTTCTATTTCCTTTGTGCTCTGCCTGCTCTCCAAAGAACAGAAATTTTACCTCAATAAACTCTTCTGAAAGTCTCCCAACACTGAAACTCCAAAACAATAAGCACCCACAGTAAATTGTAAGCTACTGCAAGTATTACAGATGCATACATTTGTACCAAAATAGTGTCTAGATCAGTCTAAACTGTCTGATTCATCAGGCCACACACACTCTTTTGCTACCAAAAGAGTGGTGAGAGAATATAAGAAGAAAACAAAAACACTGCTGACACAATCTATGCAAAAGAATATTACATTAAAAATCAGATCATGAAGATCTACAATCTACCTCCGTCTTCAATGAAGCTTGACTTCCAAAAGCAGAAGTCTCTTCCAAGCTTGCACCATTTCAAATCCACTGAAGCTGGAAACTAGAACCAGAAATTTTCCAAGCTAACACTAACTGGCTAGCGAAAGAAAGAACAAAAGAACAAATGAAAGAAACTACCTATCAGCAAAAAGCAGTCTGTATTTTAATGCCTGTACAGGATATTAAAAACCAAAGTTACCTCTGTAAGCAAGTAACAGCACAAAAGGCGGCACAGATCTGCTATAGTAAAGAATGTAGAGCTCGTATCATTTTGCAGTTTTATCTTGTGCCAAATAAACCTTCCAAGAGATTTTCGGGGATAGCCCCCTCTTGCTCTTAGCAATTGTGTCAAGAAGCTATACTTAGTGTATATATCCTTGAAAGATACAACAATTGCACAGTTCACAAACTATAAGCAAGAAAACATCTGTGCCACTCTGTCTCATCTGAAATTAAAAAAAATAACCACATGCCTACATTTTTAAGTATCTCCTGAACAAAATCTTTCTTTAGCCAGTGTCAGTGCCTTGCTGGCCAACTTTGTCTAATCCCATGTCACCCACAACGATAACTCAACTTTGCACAGCACAGCAGAAATATGTTTTAAAAAGCAACTACTGATTTTCAAATCATGAGCTGAAACCCACACTTGAAAGGGTTCTGATTTTCTGAATCATGTGATTTTTAAAATGACTACATTATTTCTTGTCTGCACTACTGTCTTATACTGTCTTCCAATACGATAGCTGTATCTATTGAAAATATTTTTTACTTACTTTCAGTTGCTAATAAATTAAACATTTATAAACTTGGTATAGGAAAAACGCGTAAAGGAACACATTTGGCCTTGAGAAAGATAGTTCACTTCTAGACTTAAGTTCTCTCAGATGTCAATAAATGAACATTGTATTGGGGGTTTTTGAGTAGTTCTGGGCTGGGGGAAACAGGACACACTCTACAGAAAAGACTTCAGTTTTCAATGGTGAAATCCGGTATGCAAAGCAGACTCATTTCAAAGAAATACCCACCATCTAAAGCAGGTCAAAGACAGATTAAAACTAGGGCTCTGCTGCGGTTGCCAAAAATTGTCATGGATACTCCTTTTCTTGTTGAACCATAATTACAGCTTGCTTGTTAAAATCCCACATAATAACATGAAATTTATTATAAAAAGAAGCTACCTGGTTTATGAAAATACTGACCTAGCCTCAACTTAAAATTTGGCTTCTTAACACTACAAACACCACTCTGAAGAAAAATATATTCATTAATATACTACATTAGAAGGTAAAGAATTGCACAACACAGGATATGAAATAAATGGGGTCAGCTCTTTTAACTTTTTTTAGTAATTAGAGACGAGGAAGGAGATCACGCCATGTTGAAGAAATGATCTCTCAAAGAGAAATACAGAGTAACCTGTTTGCCAAAAATTCAAGATCAAATGCAGTTTTGAGTCCTCCTTACTCTTTTTTCCCTGGACAAAGGGATCAGAAGGCACTTGCTAGCTTCTCCTAGAAGTGAAGATTAGCAGTAATTTGGGGAGGGGACACAGCAGGGTGATAGGTGGAAGTCACAAAGAAAGTGACTACTCTAAAATACCAATTCTAGAATTTGATAAAACAAGATTAAGTCACTGTTCAAAAGCATGAGCTGTGTAGATGCCGACTATAACAATTACAGCTAACCAAAGAAACACCTTCCATCACCATCCAAAAACTCCAATATGCACACAGTTAGATAATACTACCTTTCCAGAGCCAGAAGAGGGAAGGAAGGCAGGACTAGCCACCGATCCCATCCTCTCCAAATACTGCTGGCTCCAACCTAGCAGGTCCAGATCACCAAAAGCAGCCATATAAAACCTTAAGAAAGAGATATAAGCAGATGCTAGAGTTCAGAAGGCTTTGTGAAAGAATAACTGTCCCAAAAAACTGGAGTTCCAGAAATCCACAGAATATTTAGACAACTAGGTATCGTGTTATGAACTGCTGTCTGTCATGTAATACTCCTTTAGTATCATGAAAAAACAGTTCTTGTCCCTTCTCTCACTCTGCAATAGGTAAATAATACAGCACATTATACAGACAGAGATATCTTTACAGACAGAGATTAAGCTAGGGATCAAACTGACTGAGGTCATGCTAAAATAGACTGAAAGTGCAGATCTGTGTTCTCAGCACATGCCTAACCCATTAGAAAAAGTTTTCTCATTATCATCAAACTTCCTTTCAGCCAGAGACTACAATACATACTCATCTGCAGACAGACAGCTGGGAGAAGTCCCCTAGATAAAGTCATGTATTACTCTGGATTCTTCCAAACATGAGGGGACAAGCAGCTATTGTTTCTGTGAATTCCAGTTGCCAATTCTCTATAGCTGCATGAATACCAGGTACATATAAATAAGCCCTAAGCCTCAGTACTGACCAACTGTCAGCTCTACTGAAAGATTTATATTAACTTACACTCTTTTAGTTATCCACATCCTCTCCAGGTGTCCACACATTGCAGGAATTCTGGTACGGCTTTGATTTAGATGTGGGGGAATTGCTCTTAGAAGTAATCCATCTCTCAGCACCAACAAGGAAGACCTGAAGACTTACTAAAACCCAGAGTATTTTTGCCAAGAATTTCAGCAGCTTATGCAACTCTACAGAATATGCACGTACCCTACCTGGTCAGAATTCACTGCAGCACCTTCCCTGCCCTGTCCCCGAGAACTAATGCATGGCTAATCTGCTCAGAAAGTGCAGACAGCTTAGTATTTGTAACAGAAGTTAGCATCGCTGCCATGTCACAGACAGGGAAACCAAAGCAGAGGGATGAAGAAACATGTCTGTTCTGCTGCCAGAGTTCAGAACATAATGAGGACCCTGGGACCCGTACTCTACACTGCTTTAATTATTAGGCCACACAAAGCAGGTACATGATTGCATGG